ATCAAAGTCACTGTCTTTTCGTTTTATGGTTTTTGTTTCTTTTTCTATACTTCTTTTCTTGTTTTTGTTTCGCTTTTTGTCTTTTTGCTCGTGTTTTTGTCCCCCTAATTACCCCCCTTACTCGGTTAGCTAGGCCTCGTTCGGAGAGCGTACCAGGAAGTTTTCTCAAGTTTTCTTAAAAAGCTATCACGGTACAACCGGAAGGTTTACACGTTCCCGCTGAACCGTACCACCGGTACTCTAGAATGGGCATGCAGCCCGGAGCTGTGTCAAGTGGGTTCGACTCCGTAGTCATGATGTCGTAAAAACACCCCGGAGCGCCATAAAAACACTATGTAACAGTCGCCTAGTTTAGTCACACATGAGGCTTAAGAAAATAGGCCCTAAAACCATTGGCTCAAGAGTCAGGGACACTATCTCTTGTGTTTTTCTACCTCAAGAACGGTCGGAGCCAATTCGGTTCGCTTGCGACATGAGACTAGAACCCGTTACAGCTTAAAGGCTACTACCAAAATATCCCCCCACTCTAAAAAACAAAAACGTCCCCATACTTAGGTCTCAAAATACCCAAAATACGCGAACGTCGTTAAAAACAGGGTCGGAACAATCCGTTAAGTTACTTTTTATTGGACAGTGGAACTTTGATCCATTTCAGATGGATCAACCTAAAACTCACCTTATCTCAACATAACAATCATAAAACACACTCGAGAAATTTAAATTGGGGACTCACATGTTGATGCACTCGAGTACAAGGAGTAATTAAATTGGTAAGCAACTCAAGAATTAGATAATATAACTAAATAAGTTTAATACTGGTCAGTTTTGGTAACAGAAGTAAATTCTGGCTCTAGAATTGGAGTTTTTATATGAACCATTGGGACACTCAAGCTGTCCACCTTTCCATTGAAGGCTCACTCTAGTTTGTTCCGAATCGTTGTTCTCTCTTCTTTTTATTATCTCTCTTCCTATTCCGGGATAAGACAGCTCTACTCGTGTCCTATTTTATATCTGGAAATTGCGAATAGCAATTTCCCGCTGTTTTTCTTGAGTAATTTCCAGCAATTGTAAATTCGGTCGTTCTGATTTTTCACTTTCTGTTTTCAGTTGGTACGAGAAAACTGAGCATGACAGGCTCTATTCGAAATTTTGAAAATTAAAATTCCACTCCAAAATTACGTATTTTCGTGTTTCTCAAGGTCAAACTTCCAGACATGACCGACTGGCACATACTCCCCGGACTCAAGATCGATGTCCTCATTGCGTGCTGTCGTTGTCAGTGAATCCCCAGAAGCCCGAGTGTCACTCAAGATACAGTGCCAGTGGTCATTTACAGAAGTATGCAGCAGACTCAAGTTTATCTACCTTCCAAAATTCACGACCATATAAAATTTTTACACTATCGCTAAACAGCAATCAAAATCTGCACACACCTGCACCTTATGAATTCCCGCTTTTTAAGCTGGTGATTTAAAATTTCTTTTGTCCTATTCAATCAGGAAATTGTCATGCAGCATTTTGATTTATATAATAGATCTAGCATATTAATAACATTATCTTATTCGTTAAAATTTCTTTTTCGTGAACCCAGATTTCATCCGAGTTCACCCTCGAGCCCCTTCCCTCTCAAGACTCAAGACTCTAGAATTTTCCTTTTGAGCCACTGGCTCACCTTGCGTTCTTTGCCCTCGAGGTACCCGATCCAGATACTTTTGACACTGTGATCTGTTCCAATAGTGCTTCTTCGTCATCGGAGCTGATCACGATCTCCTCCCAAGCCTTCAGCTGTTCATAGGATCGCATCCACTCCCTTTGCTCTTGCAATCTCTTCGCTTGATTCTGTAAGCTCTTCGCCTTCGACTCCCGGTTCAAACAGAAGGAATTGTGAAGACTCAGGCTTACATTCTTCGCCAGGTCCTCCTCCAGTATTGATTCCCTCGCTCTAGTGTTGTCTCTGGATACTCTACCCACTCTTTTCCACCCCGTCGTGATCGCATTTCGATGGGTCAGCAGAGGTCTTTTGAAGGCATCTGTTCCTATCTCGGCCTGGAATTGTCGATATTCCTTTTGATGTTTCCTCATGTGATCCTTCGTCGCTACATATAACCAGGATGTCAACGTCGCGCGAAACCAAGGAAAGAATCTCAAACGGCTCCACACGTGTCTGACTTCCATTGGTATGGCGAACACCTTGCATGCTGTCTCGAACAACTCAAGTCTCCTGCTGTAATCTATCGCGTGAATCGACTCTGCTGTTGGCGTCTTCGATTCTCGATACTTTGCTATGTTTTCTTTCATCCATCGTAGAGCCAGCATTGTGCTCACCACCAAGATGGTCACTTTTTGTTGATGCTCGGGTAGTCCCAACGACCTGATTTCTTCTACATCCCAGATCAGGCAGAGATTGGCTTGGTCTGGGTACCACACTGTCAGCGCCAGACAGTGGCACGGACAATCCCCGTGTGTGAGGTCGATGCTCCTAACATTGCGTTCTCCCGAGGCTTCTAGGAGAGGCTCAAGTTCCATCATCTTCTCGTGTATCACGTCGACTTCTTCCAAGTTTGGGGCACCTACCATGGGTTTCCCCATCATGTTTTGTCTCTCGAGGTCTGTCGTATTTTCGCTCTCCAAGCCCAGAAGTTCTTCACCCCAGATTTCACTCAAGTCATCCCTTTGTTCTTTAGGCACTGTCCCTCGGACCTTCCTCAACAGCCTGTGTGAATGATGTGACATCCGAGCTAGTCTTACACATTTGGGCACTGAGAAGGCTTTGTCTATCAATACCCTCTGGCTGAACACTTCTACCATCGCCATGTGCAATGGATAGTGGCTGCCACATAGGTTGGCCATCACTGACCCCACTAGGGACTTCGCATTTAGAGGCATTCTATAGGCTTCGCTCATGGGAAATCCCATCTCCGCTTCGAGTCCAACCTTCCAACTCTTGATGTATTTCTGGGTCACCTGCAACACTCCGGGCCATGACTCGACGCTTAACGCGGTCACCAAGTGGTGTTCTGACTCTAGCCTCTCCAATGACTGGAGACTACACATTCTCGAGAAGAACCCCAGAGCTGTTGCTAGGTTCACAGTGGTACTCGCGTAACACTCAGCCACTATCTGTATCTCACTTTTCTCCCTCTCGGTGATATCTTCAAACCAGGTGACTAGGTCTTTTTTCTGGAAAGACTGTATCCTGACGCACGATCGTCCATCACAGGTGTGCTCGCCATTCCCACACGTCGAGTCAAGACAACTGCCCGGCTCCATCTTCTTTACCGACCCTGTTCCACTCGTCATCTCACTTGACTCCTTCATCTGAGGCAGGATCAGTCTATGTACTATACTCAAGGTCGCTAAATCTTCATCCTCTGTCGGTGCCAATCTCACTCGCTCAGTGACTTCCTCGATCAGGCTCGCATGGGGATGTGGACACCAGGAGGGCCTGAGCAACTTCCACACCACTCCCAGATTCGTGGTCAACGTGCCGTTCCCGTTACCCATTCTTAGTTCTACTCTTTTACTTGAGCGTGGCACACTTATTACTTCCGGTGTCCTCTCGAGAATCAAACCCAGACTAGGTCTCTCTCTTTCCACAGGGTCTATCTCCATTATCCTCTCTATCCAGAACTTCAGCAAATATAGCAATTTCCCGCTGTTTTTCTTGAGTAATTTCCAGCAATTGTAAATTCGGTCGTTCTGATTTTTCACTTTCTGTTTTCAGTTGGTACGAGAAAACTGAGCATGACAGGCTCTATTCGAAATAAGACACGAGTAGAGCCGTCTTATCCTGAAATAGGAGGGGAGATAATCACGAGAGAAGAGTGCAATTATTCGAACTGAACCAGAGTGAACCTTCAACGGCTCTACTCAAATTAATTTTAAAATATTTAATTAATTTTAGAGGTTAAAAGTATTTTAATCTTAATAGTAATTTAGAGGTCAACTGTGATTGGCTAATTTTTTATCATGATGGTTTAGAACCAAATTGTGTGATTTATTGTAAATAACATTTGTAAATTGATGTTTTATCGTCATTTAGAGTAGTTTATTGTAAAAATCCTGACGATGCACATAGTTGCGAAAATGTTTGAAATTTACTTTTTAGCAAAAATTTCTTCAACGGAAAGGTGGACAGCTGGTGTGTCCCAATGGTTCAGACTAAAACTTCAATTCTAGAGTCGAAACTTATTTCCTTTGTTAAAACTGATTAGTATTGAACTTATCAAGTTATCTTATTTAATTCTCGAGTTGCTCATCAATTTAATTACTCTTTATTCTCGAGTGCGTCGACATGTGAGTTTCAAATTTAGTTTTCTCGAGTGTGATTGTTATGTTGAGATAAGGCGAGTTTTAGGTTGATCCATCTGAAATGGATGAAAGTTCCACTGTCCAATAAAAAGTAACTTAACGGATTGTTCCGACCCTGTTTTTAACGGCGTTCGTGTATTTTGGGTATCTCGAGACCTAAGTATGGGGACGTTCTTATTCTCTAGAGTGGGGGGATATTTTGGTAGTAGCCTTTAAGCTGTAACCGGTTCTAGTCTCATGTCACAAGCGAACCGAATTGGCTCCGACCGTTCTTGAGGTAGAAAAACACAAGAGATAGTGTCCCTGACTCTTGAGCCAATGGTTATAGGGCCTTTTTTTCTTAAGCCTCATATGTGACCGAAGTAGGCGACTGTTACAATCTGCAATTTGTACAATGAAATCTTTTTGGTGTAAACCAGGCTAACTAAATTATGATTTATATATCTTCGCAACCTTTACACAATTTAAATTTATTTGAAAGACAAATTTATTATTAATGTTATCATATTATGCTGTAAATAAATATACTAAACAAAAATCGCATGACGTACACCTGCTCTGTGTTATTGCGTATCATTTTGCGATTAAAAAGTGTTTTTTTAACCTCGTTTCGTTTCCCTGAAATTCCTTTTTGTTACTTTATAATATCTGGCTGGTTCAAGAAGTCGGGAAGTTTTTTTTTCAGATGATATGGCTGAATGCCTTCAAAAATTGGGACGACTTTGTTTCCCTGGAAAGTTTTCTTCTTTCCATCTGAGATCTTTTATGGCACTAGCTGGCCCAGAGACATCACTCCTGTCTAATGGCAGCTTTTCAATTAGTTCAGTGCGCGGCAAACGAAAGAAAAAGAAGGGACCGTCTGAGGCGGATTCGAGATACGATAGTTCTATTCAGAAAGCTGCTCTTCAATATCTCTACGAACAAAATATTATGGACAGGTCACATTTACAGAATATGTCATTTGATGAATTTTATGATGATTCTCTGCCTGTGTATCGATCTGTTGTTGTACGCTTAATGTCCCATGATCTTCAAAGAGTGGAAGCGTTTGAGACCTACTTGGTAAAACGACTGCGATTTTTGAGACTTCCGGTAAGATTTTGTTTTTTAACAGCTTGTACCAGAGGTTTCATCCAAGAATGGGTTCCTTTTACTTGAACACCTGATATTTTCTAACAATCCGAAGTCTTTTCGTGAAGTATTTTTTTCGTAAAGAAATAGAAGTGATATATATTGAAGTTCAACTCTTACGGATTACTTGGTGAATGACTAGGAAGTAAACGTTGCTGTTTTTTTTTGGTGCTGAATTTAACTTAATTGTTAAGCTGTTGTGCGTGCGTGCTTCAAAAATGATTATAAGCCCTTTTTGAAATGATATTGGAGGCGGTCAAGAAAATAATATGAATGGTCGAGTTTTTAATGCAGAAAATTGACTTACAACATATCAGAGATTTATTACAGTGAATGATAGGTTTTAAGATTTCAGTTTTTGCTGAAAGTTCGAATAAAAATTGCTACTATTACGAGTCATGATAAACATTCGAAGAGCCTGTGTTTTTCGTCCAATTGATTTACGTGATTAATTTCTGTGTCGTAGCCTTTTTGTGAGTTTGGAATGGTTATTGAATCTTTTCATAGAATCAAGCTGTATAGTTTTAGGTGTCGGAGTCATATCCTCTTCCACACAAAGTCTTCAGACTGGACAATATAAACAACTTAAACGAAAAAGTATGATTTTTAAAACTGAATAGAAGCAGAATTAATGTCCCAACTCATGTTATTTGCATGTAGCATTTTATTAGGTGACGGAAAGTATGGAGATACCCGAGTATTCTCGTGTGATTTCATTCAACTCCATACCTGCAGTGATGTTTCCTATTCTTATGATGCAACTCAAGACAACACTTCCCGAGGGAGTCAAGTTTTCAGCCGATTATTTCAACGAATCTGTGAAGTGGGAGCGCTTCATCGATCCACTAGAACTACCCGAAAATAAAATACAATTTAGTGAATTGATTTCTAAAAAACAAAAGTAACACGATATTCTTTTTACACTACTTCGCTTAGTTTTTATGTATGTTTGATCTGACTTTGTCCATCATATTTTCAAAATAACTCGACCAAGTCATTGAGCTGGGCCCGCTATCGTCTGAACTATTTGAATTGCTTGTAAGTTGTTGCATTCTCCGATAAATTTCGAAGCTTTTTGCTGTGTCGTTTTCTGAAATATTCCAACCAGTTAAACTTCCCGGGCGCTGCATCTCTATGATCTGGTTTTGTAGTTGATTGCTGGGACTAATTTCAGACTCCAAAAAGGCATGGAACTCTGACTGACTGAGTTTCAAAACATCTTCACAAGTGATCATTTCTTGAACCAAATGGGTATATTCTCTTGTCATGCTTCTCATTAGATCTTCCAGTAATAAAATAGTTCCCTGTACCTTCGCAATTCTCTTACGAGCTTCATTCTCTCTCTGACCGAAGTTGATGTTTTGCAGATTTTCAGTCAAAATGCTCTTTTTTGCATGGTCCACTCGTTGAACACGATGTGAGGCTACATTTCCGTGATCTTCATCCCAACAGTTTCCGCAGATTTCAATTTTGCATTCATAGCAGTAGAATTCCAGCTGATAGTTGGAGTGCTTTTGGCAGCACTCTTTTGCGTTTGAAGAAGTTGAATGCGCTCTAAAATAGATGCGATTTTTTGAACACTTATTGCCCTTGCGATAATTACCTTTGTGATAAGCAAGGGCATTGCAATCAGGTATTAGCAGGGGCTGATCTAGGATTTTCTCGAACTGGGCGGACTTTCGAAAAATAGAAGAATATTTTGTCGAACTTTTTTTTAGGTCCACCAAATTGGTTTTCCGAGCGCTCCCAGAAGGAGCCATTAGAAAATTTTACGGTTGGTCAACCGAAAATGTATTTTATTTAATAATACCAAAGGTGGAACCCTTCGGTTGGCGAGGGTGTCGAATCTTTGAGGGAGGATCGAGGCGTCCGCCCCCACCCTAAGTTTGCCCGATGGTACTAGACTTTTTACCCTAAATACTTTGTTCACAGGACTCATATGGACGTTTGTAATCACCTTGGATCATAAGGAATTCAAGTTTCTTAGTGTCTCCTGCACATTTAACCTGCAGGTAACGAATACGCCTGGGATGGCAAAGGTTCCGGATTTGAATCTGACCAGAACCTGTTTTTTTTTTCAAATGGAAATTTTTTGTTTCTGATAAAACTGTCGGTCTAGTATTTGTCCGCTAATATTTTGTCAGTTTAGTTGCCACATCTAAGAATTGTTTTTTTTTTGCTGTAAAAATTTTTCATTGTAGTTGCTTTAAGTTTTTTTAGCATTTTAAAAATCCTGCCAAATCGTAATTTGATGTTGCTGTAACACCCATGCTTGAGACCATAAAGCCCGGGAGTTCGATTCCAGTATAGACTTGATTTTTTTTGCAAATTGAAATATTTCGGCTAAAGTAGATTATTGTCTGTCTGCTTGTTTTTGTCGGCTTAATTGCTCTGAAAGGACTATTTTAAATATTTGGATTCTTTCTATCGTTCTGAAAGCGTGTAAAATTTTCAATGGTACATATAATTGTTTTCGGATATTTTGGGCCTTCGTTGCAATTTTTAATGTTAAAAACGATTTTTGATGTTTTTTAGTTTTTTTTCTTTTGATTGTAATCATAGTCATTCATTTTAGTATCGCAAGTGGCGCGAAGCTCAGTTTATCCTCTGTATAAGTTTTTGCAGGCTTGCCAACGTGCTGTTGTTACAATTAAGTTTTATGGCTTCAATTGTGTCCCAGTTTTGTTTGATCAAATTGTTTTTTGAACAATGTTCTTTTTCGTCATTTTTTTCATATTTTACCTTTTCTTATGAGATGTCTCTGATGTAGAAGCTGCCTCGTTCACTTCATCAAAGAATTCTTTCAATCCGTACAAGGGTTTCAACTGATCTCGTGTAACTTTGAACAGCCTGCGACAAATGGCACAGCGCGGATATCCGGCCGATATGAACAGACCTTCAAGGCAGTCACGTGGCCTTCCACAGAAAGAATGGCCACATGGTAATGCGACAGGACTGAGTTTGATTTCTAAGCAGATGTCACATTTCAAATTCGAAACTGAAATTCGCTCGATTTTTTCGGAGTTCGATGCCATCTATTGGTCTAGTTAATAGCTTGCATATAGAAGCAAACAAAATAAAATTGTCATGTATTTTTTTTCAGTGCTGTTCGTGCCTGACTGACTTCAAAACGTACTATGTTTTTTAGATTAAATGTTGGTCTGAGAACTAAAACATCGTGACAAAAACAAGATTCGCTGCAAAATGGACGGCGGTAAATCAGAAAATCAAGTGTTCATACTTGTAATATGTAACGTAGCTGGCGATTTTCGAAAAGCATTTTCTAAAATTTGGAAAGCATGCGAGAAAGTTAAAAGTCTGGACGTGTTTGTCATCGGAGAATTTTTCAGTAATCGATTTCCGATGACATCAAAGCTGATTGAGGCGGTGATAAGCGAGGGCAACAAACTACCCTGTCCGATCAATGTGCTCATGTCTTCGAAAGAAGTAGAGAGTTTAGGCGAGCATAAGGAGCAACTTGGTGATAATATCCACATATCAACAGGTAACTTGACATCAAGTTTTTTGCCGGGATCTTCATATCAAGTTTTTTTTGCTTTGTTATTTAAGGTTAAAAAAGTCTAGTACCAAGGGGCGGATCTAGGGGAATGAGGTATACCTCAGGGATTCGAGCCCCTCACCAGCTAAAGGGTCCCCCGTTGGTACTAATATATGAGCAGGAGCTGAGTTGTCTGAATTAATGTTTGCAAATCGTTTCGAGTCACTTTAAATAAGGAGTTGCTTCTTAATTACTATCTTCTTTTTTTGGATAATTTATGCCCTTCCAGTTGTCATCAGCGAAACGGCGTCTTACGTATCGGTAATGTTATAAGTAAAAAGTTTGCCATTTATTCGCTTAATAAAAACTTGGAGAGAAGAATTGTTCATGGTTGTTTTCAGTCCTAGTTTTTCATGTAGTTCGAAGAGTATGTTTTTGCTCTTTCACATATGTTCTTTCACGACACGGCATCAATGAAAAATGAAATATTAGAATGCATGAATGAAAAAAGAAATTTCCGCGCACTTTTCCGGGCTCTTTCACAATTTTCCGGGCTCTTTCACCATTTTCTGGCATCTTTCCCTCAGAAAGAGCAAAAACATACTCTTCAGCAGTTAGAACATAGTTGAAGATGGCCTCGGGCAAAAGAGCCGCCATCAGGCACTTTGTGCCCTCAGGCTGGGCTCTTTTTCCCTCGGGCATCTTTCAACTATGTACTAACTACTACAAAAGGTCAGAATCTCTCGTATAAACTCAAAAATACTGGAATCACATATCTTTCTAGTTACTCTTTTGAATTGTTTCAAGAATAATTTTCCAAGTTTTTGTATTCACGAGTTTTAAGTCGGGTCACTTCTGTCATTCTTGCGTGTTGATCACTTTTTTGTTGTTTTCAGTCGTGTCATATTATTTGCGTGCAACATATATGTGCCTTGATGTTGTTGAGACTGTGCATCAAACAGTGCACTGTACAGCCGGCCCTATTTTGGAACGAAAAATAAAAATGAAAAATCGGGAGAAGGTGGGTTGTCCCTTAGCTTAATCCTATTTTATGTCGAGAGAGTGTCGTAGCTTGTCGAGTGGGTTGTCTTTGTTTAAGTCGTCTGCTGTCGAGATGAGGTTCTTAAACTGTCAAGATGAGAGTTATCTGTTGTCTTGAGGTTACTATTCAAAGTTTCGGCTCACGTAATTTTAAAACGAAGTCTGCTGGTAGAAAGATCTGGTCGGTTGTTGCAGTCGATCATGTTCAAATGAGATGGCTGCTGTTGCGGAGTTCAGATCTGCGGAGTCAACAAGATCGGCTGGTCGTTGTTCTCTGCTGCTTAAAGGAGCTGGTTCGTTGATATAGTTGATCATTGTCTCTACGAAGATCGAGTAATCGTTGTCATTATCCTTTTAATTGCAGGTTGAACTAGTCGGGTTGCGTACACAATTACACGTAGAGAAGATGAGAGTTTAAACAAAAGTCGTAGAAAACTTGAGAATATGCTCTCGGCAAAAGAAAGATGTTGTTGGGTATCAGATCATGCTGTCATGCAAAATCTATTTCCAACATCGGAGTATCGTCGGATTGTTGTGTAGAAATTTGGACAAACTGAAGCGAGGTGTATTGCTGGGATTTGAACTCTTTCACGGCGGGTTCTAAGTTTGTGTTGTCGTTTTACATGATGGGCTCGAGGAATCTATGCCACCTAGGAGCCATAGTCCAGTTTTGTTTGGGAAGCAGAGTTTGGATGACGGCGTTTCCAAACATGGTCTGATTGCCGCTGTGCAAATTTTCATTGAGTCATCAGTCTTGATGGCTGAGAGTTGACTCTTTCAGGCATACTGGCAAACATTTAACTAGAAGAAAATGTTTAGGGTTCAGGGCTTCGATGTCGCTGGGGAAGATGAAACAGTAGTGATCGGTCCTCCATTCATAAACTGTTCAATTTTGCGCAACAAAGTGTTGAAAGTATCATATGAAAGGAGTTTAAATCCAATGATGGTTTTTAGCGCTACGAATGAGATGTTCCGAGACGCTACTCAAATGTGGTGCATAGGCAGGACTAAGTTTTCAGGATATCTGGTGGTATCCGAAAATTGGTTCACTGAGCTGCTGTTACCGGTGGTCATCAGATCTTTTTCTGCTGCTGTAAAGTTCGTTGCGTTGTCGGAGCGGTTTTCTAAAGGGGTGCCTCTTCTGGCAAAGAAGCGGCGGAGTGCTGTCAGAGTTGCGTCGGATGATAGGTCATGGAACGTTTGTTTTTGGTAGAGTTGATTGACGTCAAGGCCAGTTTCCTGAAAGGAGACTGGCTTATCTGATGGAAATCTACATAATAGGAAGAGAGACATGTCGGGTTAAAGTCCATATGCGAGCTGGTAACGAAATTTTTTTTCTGGAGAACAGGTAACTCGATCAGAGAAGAATCCGATTTTAGTACTTCGATGAGAAATTTCATTGCTAATTCAATGTCGCATTCAATGCGTTCAGGTTAATAACATGGCGTTGGTTTTCTTCAGTTGTCAAAGGCGATGATATTGCTGAATGTAGGATTTGATACAGGGTGTTTTGACGAGGTTTCTGATGAGGGGTTTGAGGTCCTGATCGAAAGATGGACGATTTGCAGGTTGAATTTCTGAAACTTGCGGCTGCAATTAGAACAAACGCTGTTGCGCGGAGAAGGTGGTTATTTTTTGAAAGGTGGTCGTATTTGATGCAGGAGACGCTAATTGTGGGGTATTGAAAGGCTGTCACATAGCGTGAAAGATGCTCGCTAGGCAAACGATATCACTAGATTTGCAACCATGTTTTCTGTCGCTTTCCACGGCGAAACTAGCAAGGCGGGCACCAAAGAGAGCTGTAGGGAGTTCAATTTTGTGATGGTGTGTTCTTACAACGGGGCTACACGGGCCATGCCTGAAGCGAATGTATTTTTTTGGCTTTGTGTCGGAATCCGTTCTAAGGACTAAGTACGCAACAGAAGCAAGAGCTGGGTACGAGGCATCTGATAAAACGCTCAAGGAATTTTCTGGTGCCGGTGCTCCGAAATAATGGCCAGACACGTGGAGCGGCTAACGGTTGTCGGCCTCTTGGATGTCAGGGAGGTCCTCTTAGGTGATTTGATCGTATCATTTAAAACCATTAATGTTTTGGTGTGAAATTTGGGGGCGAATAATGACAGGGGTGGCGATGCCAATAGAGTCAAATATAAAGGAAGGAATATGCAAAAGGTTGCGCTGGGCTGGCTTCTTTTTCAGATCATGACTTTTTTCGGCTGAAAAACTAGCGAATCAGAGAAAATGTTCCATTCGATTCCATATATACTTTTCGTCTCGTTGGAGTTTGTCAGTTTGTCGTGAGATAGGGCGCGGTGTTAGTGAGTTTTTGCACTTAAAAGCTGCAGGGTTCGTAATAATTCATTTTGGCAGGTTGAATGTTTTATTTTGCTGTTACGCTTCGTAGATTAGTGAATAAGTGTATTGCTACTTCTACATAGTTTGTTGATTCGTAGAAATCGTCCATGTAAAAGTTGAGGTCGATAAGTTCCTCGATGTCGGGTATTCGTTTTTGTTGTCGTAAGTTGCCGCAAGTTTGAAGAGCAAAGTTCGCAAGTTGGCGAGCATTTAGCACCAAAAACGAAACGAGTATACTCGTAAAAATCTGACTGAATGGCTGATGAATCTGAGAAACTTCGGGTCAGACGGACACTTGCTTGTTCATGCTTTCAATGTCTGCGTGTTGGGAGATTTCAATTCCATCCTGTTGAGAGAATTTCTTCGCTTAGAAGTTTGCGAATGTAGTTCTTGGTCAAATCGTTTGTGATTGTGTGCTGGTACCTTGCAAGCTTGTTGGGGTCGTTCAGAAGGCGCATTTTCATCTCCTTGAATTGTTGAGCGGAAGCAAAGTAGTTGTTGGCAAGGCAGGCGTTCGGTTTCCACAGTAGTCCAACTTCGCACCATGCTTCCGCGTAGGTGGTGGTCTGCCGAAAGGTTTCAAGGGCGTGTTTTTTTGTTCATGAAGCGAGTTACTTCCGAACAGGTTCCCTAACTTTCCCTGCTTGAAGTAGTTTGGAAAGTCTGCGTCATCGTAGACTGCGTCATCGCTAGTCTGCGTCATCGTTGACTTCGTTGATGTGAAAAGTGTAGGCTCGGAGTTCTAAATTCCCGCACATGTCGGTTGTTGGACCACCAAGCGTCCAACCAAGAGGTGTTTAAATTGCACGTGGTGTTTTTGGGTCATTTTTTGCAGATGTAAAAAGGTCTTTTTTTGTTGCAATGAAAATTGAAACCTGGCTGTTGTTGAAATCTGGAAAATTGATGTCTTTTAGATGATCGTTACTGATGCAGATGCTGTTGAGTTTGCCGTGTTGAACATCTTATAGTTTTTTCTTTTCGAGCACGTAAGTACGTTTGTCTAGAAACTGCTTGCTGAGATTTCCAAACGGGTGTATGATCAATTCAACGCATCGTGCTTTGGTCTGTTCTGAATAAAGAAGTCTCTCGATGACGAATTCTTTGGTTTCGAGGCTTTCGTCCAGCTGAAAAAAGTCGGATGTCGATTGTCAGTTGTTAAGAAGAAAATGTGTGTTGATATACTTGCTGTTTTTCCCGAGGGTCCCAGAGATAGAGCAGTAATGGTTTTGTGAAGCGTTTCTGCTATTGGTTGAGTGAATTGTGTGGTCTGTTTGGAGCTAGTTGCTGCTGTGAGGAAAACCGTCTGCAATTAAACGGGAGAGTTCTGTCGTTCGTGAATCCAAGTGTCTGAAACGTTTTCAAGATTGCAAACGAAAGCTGAAAATTACATAAACGATTGCTTATGTTAAGTGGGAGGCAAGCGGAGTTGTTGTAGTCTGTTGATGTAGTGGCTGAGAACTATGTCTGGTCTTCAAATCGTAGTTCGAGTTCTTGAAGGGTAGTTGCATACTTAGCGCTGTTGCACGAATATCCGGTGAGAGCTTTATTAGCGCGTCCTGTTTCAATGCTTGCAATTGTGTTGACTTTTCGGCGTCGGAGATAAGTTGACTGAACAGCAGCTTGGAATATCATCGGATACTTGTCAATTGGATCTTCGGTAATCGTGATGTCAAACTTGTAACTGTAGTCGTTGAAAATGAAACGGTCGCAGTGTAAGCTGTTTTGTTGATGTGAGTCTGGGGCTTGCATTTGGTCGGAGGAAATGGTAATGCGGCAAACTCTCCGATTGCGATCTTGCTGTAAGTGTTTGCAATTTGTGATTGTTCTCGGTTGATGTAGACGTGTTTGCTGCTGAAATTGAGGGCTGTTGCTGTTGAGTCGAGGCGAATATCGTTGAGGTGGCGCTGAAGTCGATAAGGGCGCTTTAAATGTTAGGGGCAGCTTAAAGAGGGTGCATTTTGATGGTTGGATTGGGCGCTGTTGATTGCTGCAGAAGTTGCAATGTTTGTTGCATTGATGTTTCGTTTGAGTAGTCTACTGTGCTCGCTGACAAAGTCATCTAATTTGTCTTCAATTGCAGTGAATGTTGACATGAGGTCATCTGGCTGTGAGTCTTCTGTCGGATAGATGAGGTAAGTCGTCGATTTCTCAAGCTGCTTTAGAAGTGAAGAAGCTTCTGTTTAGAATTCTGCTAATTCGAAATAAAGTCGGTTTCCTCTTCTGTGATGGCTTTGGCATTCTGGCTGAGAAGTCCGTTCAGTCGTTTGACTAATAGTTTTACACTGTCCGGGTGTGCTTTCTGTAGGAATTCTGTCGTTGAATTTTATGTCAATTGGAAATTAAGTTCGGAACTTAAGTTAGCAGATTATGTTCGATGGGTTGATGCTGTTGTGGAGCTGTCGAATGGTGTTGTGGGGTTAATTGGTTCTGCTTTTTTTCAATGTTTTGCGATTTTTTTTGATGTAGAGCAGGGAATTTTGGTACCAAATCATAGATTCGTTGAAAAGTTGAGTTCGTTATAAACTCAAAATAATGAAATCTACTATCTGTCAAGTTTTTCTATTTGATTAGTTTCCTTGTTTCAAGAATAATCCTCCCAAGTTTTTGTATTCACGAGACTTAAGTCAAGTCACTTCTGTCATTCTTGCGTGTTGATCACTTTTTTGTTGTTTTTAGTCGTGGCATGTATATATGCGTGTAACATATATATAAATTGACATTGTTCAGACTGTGCATCAAACAGTGAACTCTAAAATGCGTTGAAATAGTTTCATCAAACCTCGCACAAGTTGCTTTCAGGCCCAGATCTGGTCTCAAAATATACTAACTGAACAATGAATGACGGTCCGGGGGAGGGGGGACTTCTTTAATTAGACCGAGGGCATGGCAGGTGAATGTGAAATCTCGGGGAACTGCACGCCTATTGCTTCTTGGAGAAAGTCAATCACGTCGTGCCTGTAGTCTGTAACGTGCAACAATGGTAGATTGTTTATGATTATACCATTATACAATCTCTTGAAGAATATCTTTCGATCTCGTTAACTTCCCTTTTAAAAAAGAGACACCGTTCCTTAAACTGGTAATCATCTCCTGTCGACTTTTCATTTAAATGGGCGATAATATGCGGCGCAGACGTAAATCGGATCAAATAGTTACCAATTGAAGGTCTGTAGTTTCCGATAGTTGTGCAATCCTTTCTTCTATATCAGTCATCAACCGCTGCATTCATTGGGCAGAATATTCTCGCTGTTTGCAATCCAACTCTGAAACTATTCAATAAATCTGTAAAAACAATTGTGCTCTTAGTGTAAAACAGTTTTTTTGGTCCAAACTTCCAAAAATGGAACAATCCCGCCTATTTTCAAAAACTCGCCTGCGGCGGAGACGTTTTTTTTGGCACAAATAGGGTCGTTACAGTAAGGTGAGATACTTGATACGCTCTCAACATCATTCAAAGTAGAATTGAGACAAGCTATATTTTTGTTCAATTTGAAGTGTTGCTAGACACACGAAGAAGAAGAAAAAGAAAATTTATATCTCCAATATCAAATTAAATTTAACATAATTTGTATCAATAGCTGATTAGTTTCATAGTGGAGGGGATAGACGAAAGGCATATTCCATGCCTACATATTGTCTACCCTGGATAATTTAAACAAACATTGACAGTAAATATTTATTACCAAGAACAGAGAAAAAAAACTATTTACAACGCATCATTTTCCCGTTTTCTTCATGCATCTTACGAGGAAAAGCACTTTTATTACACATGAGAGCACACAATTTGATAGCAGAATATTAATAATGAAAAATGTAAATATAAAATAAATCCTTTAATTTTGTTGGCTTTTCGCAGTTTCGTAAAAAATGCAGTTCCAAAACAGGTTTCCAATTTATAAATGCAATATGTTTCTCTTAGCACAAAAAAGTCTGTGGTCACAATTGAAAATTTGATTGTGATAAAAAAATAGAAATCTTCATACTTTTTAATTATTTATTTTTTTAAAGATTGATTTTCCGAAGTTCAGAAAAAAGTCGTGATTTCTCAAAAACCAGAAGCTTCTGAGAGTCCATGTTTTCAGTTTTAACCCCCAGTCTCTTGCTTGTGTCATGTAGCATCTGACCACACGGTTTCAAATCAAAAAGTCAGGGGAAAATGCATTAAACATTTAGAGTTATATTAACTTTTCAAGGAAGGGGAAATCACAGAATTGGGAAAAAATAATATTCTTCAAAAACAGAAAATTGAAAAATTTACGTTTTCGGCTTGCAGATAAAACTAGTCTATTTTCAGATAGGAATATCCTTTTCATTTATTTTCCATTGAAAAGTTTTTGAATTAAAACATGGTTACCAGGTATATAATTGTCCTTAACTTGTGAACGAAACACTTTCATCAGGCAGAGACAATTTTCCACCACTAACTGGTAACAAATCATTTTCACTAAAAAAAATCAATAATTTTGACCCTCTTTTAGTGAGGGAGCAGGATTTTGCTTTCTTTTTGCATAAAGGGGAACAAATGTACAGAGATCGAATTTTCTTGTGTTTTATGCATAGACTTCAGTGCGAAACAAAGAATTTAGAAAACAGTTTTGATGTTTTTGGTTGAGTGAACGCAAGGAAAACTTGAGCAAATTATATACATAAAGCTCATGAACGGACAGTTTTATTATCTAAGAATGATTGAGTGATACTTTCGATTTTTTTTTGAAATAAATCATGTGCATAATTTTCGTTGCATCATGATAATCTATTATCTATTATATATTTAAATGCGGGCTTCACTATCTCGCCATGTTTAAGCTTTTTCAACGTATTATTTTTGCAGGTTTAAGCTATATCGTATATTGCAATGGTTAAGATTTTTTTTTCAATTTTCCAATTTGATTTTAGTGTTTATTTTGGCGAGTTTAAATTAAGCAGCCCAATATCGAATTAAGGGTTGCGAATTTGGCCTCCAATCTTGAATGCATGAATCATTTTAGTTAACGAAATAAGACGATTTTTGAGATTTTTTCAAAAATTTTCAGAAATTTCAAATAACAAAATAATTTACAAAACTTGAAGTTCCCAACCCTGTAGTTGGGTGCTGTCAGAGTACTCTAAGGAGTTAAAAATCTTGCCTCCAAATATGACTGCTCAATTCTTAGTAGTTTTCGAGATATGATATTTTTTGTGATTTTTTCAAAAATTTTCAGAAAATTTTATTTAATTATTTCTCAAAATTTGAATTTCTCAATCTTGTAGTTGGGTGCTGTCAGACTACTGTAAAGAGTTACAAATCTTGCCTCCAAGTATGACTGCTCAATTCTTTGTAGTTTTCGAGATATGACGTTTTTTGTGATTTTTCCAAAAGTTTTCTGAAAACTTCAGAAAGTTTAAATTAATTATTTTTTCAAAATTTGAAAGTTCCAACGCTATAGTTCGGTGTTGTCAGGGTACTCTAAAGAGTTGCAAATCTTGCCACAAGCGACTGCTAGACGCGACTGCTCTAATGCTTTTAGTTTCCGAGATCTGACGTTTTTTGACTTTTTCAAAATTTCTCGAAGAACTTATCTACAAAGAAATTCAAAAAATTTGAAAATACTAATTTGATGAAGATACAACCTTATTGTCATCGTACACCCAGGCGTCTCAAATCTTGCCTCTCAATATGAATGCTCAAATCCTTTTAGTTTCCGAGATAAGACGTTTTTTTTTTTTTTTTTTTTTCAATTTTTTTTTTCGGAAACTTAGGTTTAAAAAAATTCACAAAATTTTGGGATTCCTAACCCTATAATAGGGTGCTCTTAGTGGTTGCAAATCTGGCCTCCAAAGTTCTCCAGAGGCCCATTAAGTTTTCGAGATGACGCTTTTAAAATGGGAACTAAAAAAATGTAAAAGTTCGAAATTACCAACCCTGTAATTGGGTGCAGTCAGAGTACACTAAAAGTTTGCAGATGTTGTTTCCTATATATGCGGTTTTTCATGAGCTGTCGTAAAATTTCGAAGCACCGAAGGTGCGTTAAACGCTAGTTTGATTTAACATCGTGAAACTGGTACAACTGGTGCAGCCGACATTCAATGTGTGTGATTTTTGTAAAAAGTTTAGTTTATTCATATTCTTATTTCTCGAATTTTCTTCATTTGAGCTGAACGATTCCAGGCAGGGTTTGCTTTGATGCAAGCGTTCCTAATGAATAATATTGTTGTGTTATCGGTATCTTGTAATGATCCGATAAGATAAGTATCGGAATAGGATTCTACATAGATGAAATTGGACGTCTTTGTTTAGGTCTTAACTGCTTCAAGACCGCGTCTGGCATCAAGGTAATATACTGGACCGAGGAAGTTAACAAAGAAAACGACACAGAAATGGCCACTGATTTGAGCGACGCCCTAACACGACTAGCAGCTTCAAAATGCGACATCCTACTTACATCCTCTTTTCCAATGGGAGTGTACAATTTCACCATCGATCCGTTGGAGTCGAAGAAATTCGCAAGTTTGACTCTCTCGAAACTAGCTAAAGCAGTTTGTCCGAGATATCATTTCTGTCCAAACCCTAAGGGCGAATATCATCAGAGACATCCGTATAGAAACGAGAATGTGTTGGCAATGAAGAAAAGTAACCATACGAGGTTTATAACTTTAGCTGATGTGGCAAGTAAGAGTTCGCAAAAATGGGCGTATCTTTTTGGAATTGATTTGAATAAACTAGAAGCTTGTGATATCCAAACTGAATGTCCATATACAGCATCTTTATTGAAGGGAACCGAACCAAATAGTGGAAATCACAATTCATCTTTAAGCTCAGAACAGACTAATGCTAGTTTCAGATGGTCAAGTTCAACGGAGGATAGTTTCAATGAAAATGGTCCTAAAAATAAGCGACCGAAGACATCTTTGAACCACAAAATCGAGAGAGAATGTTGGTTCTGTTTGAAAACCGAAGCATGTGAGAAACACTTGATCGTTCATGTAAACGAAAGCAGTACTTTCTACTTGGCGTTGGCCAAAGGTGCAATACATCCGGATCATTTATTAATAGTACCAGTTGATCATCATAAAAGTGCGGCGATGTTGCCGGAAGATTTGCAGCAGGATTTGGAAACATTGAAAACGCAGGTGTTCAAATTTTTTGAAAACCAAGAAAAAGACTGCGTCATTTTTGAGAGGTCTTATACACAAGTTCACTTTGTGTTACAAGTGGTGCCTGTTAGGCGATCTGTGTCTAAGAATTTGTTGCCCGCGTTTCAGTCGCACGTTAATAAAATCAATGGAATAGCGGTTGAAACTATCAAAGCGCCAGGTACTTTGAAAAGCGCCTACGAAAAGAGCGATAGATGTAATTATTTTCACGTAGAGTTTCCGTCTGGTGAAGAGTTTTTCATACCGTTGAGAATATCGAATTTCCCAATAAATTTTGGCAGACAGTTCATATGCGACCCGGAGGTGCTGAATTGTCCTCGAGCGGCTGACTGGCGATCGTGTGTTTTGTCCAAGACGGAAGAAGAGGAGAATCGGAACAGCATCAAAGATTCCTTCGGGAAGTTTGTGGTCGAATTTGCTTCGGCAGATATTTGATTGAGATATAAAACTTGTAGTTATTTGTTATATTGTTTGCTAGAAAGTCTGTTGATTAAAGAAAAAAATGATTATTTACAAATTCCACGTTGCTCTGCGATCGCAATATCTAACCATCGTAAACAAATTATTAAGGTTTCAACTTTGGGATGTGTTACTTATATTCAAGCGTTAGGTCAATTGAACAGTGGTGAAAAAACAGTGCATCACATCGCGAGTTTAATTTTTCTGAAACCTTTCGTATATTGAAACCATTTTGAGTACCCTGATAACAAGTTGTTCAACCTTTATCAAACCTGGCACATGCTTAAGACTTGTTCTTTTACCAAACCACTAATTGAATCTTCTGTTAGTTTTTGATTTCTTTAGCGTTCATCTTTTTTTCCGGGAACTTAAGTGAGAACTTTTTCAGTTTGTTCAGCTGGCTTCAACTTTCGTTCATAAAATGATTCTAAAAGTGATTGGTTCGTGTGAATAAACTTTTTGATGCATGGTTGGATCACTTTCAGATTCCGCTTGTGTGTGAGGCCTCGTGAACCACCATCCGTCGGGCTACTTAGAACTTGTTGGCAGTTGTCACAGATCCTTTTGCTGAGTGAAGAGAGAAAGAGCTATTACTGCAGGGACAGCGACTGTTTGGTGTTATCAGGAGCAAGTTGAGGTTGTACGAGAAAAGTTGAACCAAAAATGGCTCAAACCAACAAGGTGAACTCAAGTTTATTTTTGCTTATTTCTGACACTTAAAAAGGTGCTTTTTTTGGCTTATTTCTGACACGCAACTGATTGACTCAATATAGAATAGTTTTTAGAAATTATTGTTTGCTTGAGTAGACATGTGCTCCAGATTACAATAACTATTGGAGTTTTTCCAACCAATGGCCTTCGAGCTAAAATTAGGTTTAATAATTTGAACTTTTTGCCGTCCAGGTGTACGTGGGAGACCTGCCGGATAACGTAGAGGAGGATGAGATTAAGGCCCACTTCGAGTCAATAGGAGGCCAAGGAAGCGTGACTGACGTGGAGCTGAGAAGCACCTTTGCGTTCGTCCACTTCGAGGACAGCAACAGCGCAGAAGAGGCCATCCAAAAGCTCAACAATACGTTAGTGTTTGTTTAATTTAGCTTGTATTTTTTTACAGTGAATAAATATATAGAGTTTATGGTGGAAATTTGGAGCTTTATGGAATGCAAGGACTTAATGAATGCATCCTGAAACTGGGACTGATTTGCTACGGTCATGCTGAAAACGCCATGCAGTATCATTTAAGACTCATTAAAGGAAGCTTTGTTCAATAAAATATATATAGTATTTATTTTTTCAGCGAGATTGCGGGTAAAGCGATTCGAGTTGAGAGGCCCAAACCGAGACGAGGACGAGGCGGTGGACCGGGAGGCTTTGGTGGCCGAGGAGGCGGCGGAGACAATTGCTTCAACTGCGGGTTCTCTGGTCACTGGCAGCGTGATTGTCCCAAGGCGAGAGGATCTTACGGAGGTGGCCGAGGCGGTGGCGGTGGTTTCAGTCGAGGCGGTGAGGGATCATATGGAGGTGGTGGCTTTGGAGGCGGCGGTTATGGAGGAGGAGGTTATGGAGCCCCGAGACAGGACGGCGGTGGACCCCGAGGAGGAGGAGGAGGAGGAGGAGGAGGAGGAGGCGGGTTTCGAGGACGTGGTCGAGGATTCGGCGGTGGACGTGGACGTGGCAACTGCTTCATCTGTGACCAGCCAGATCACTGGGCCGGAGAGTGCCCCACGAAGCAACAGGAGCCGAGGTACGTTCATGAGTCCTGCATTCATTAACCATGATTTATCAAGGCTCATTTTGAATTTGCCAATGAAACCGTGAAATTCATGGTTTCACGTTTAACAATAATATACACCAGTGGACAAAGTTAAACGCAAAATTACGTTTTTACACTCTAAATGGCCTAATTTTAAGGACAATATTTGCTTTGAATTGTAATAAAAATCTTACTTCAACCTTAGCGATAATCCGAAGTGCCCTCTCGGAAAGTCTGTTTTTAATTTGAAATACTTACCAGTTAATTGCGAATCTGAAAATGCCAGTTTTAATATTTGTAATAGGCTTTCTTAAGGAGTGAACAGTTTTCGAATAAAGCGGAGTAGGAAAATTTGATCCTGCGATTCGAAACATTTAAAACGAGAAAATTGCATTGTTCAGTGTGAGAATTTTCGCACCTTTGCAAAAAACCTATTACAAATTGTAAAAACTGGCATTTTCAGACACATAACAAGGATAGCCGGTTACTGCAAGTAGCAGAGAATGTTCCGACCAGTCTTAAAAAATCCAAAAATGTTTTTCAAGTTGGTGTCGTTTTTTTCTGCATGTTTTGATTAAAAAATCTGACCGGAAAATTAGAAATTAGGCATATTTGAGAGTCATAGTAATAACGGTCAATTGGTTGAAAAATTTTTTGCGGAAGTTTTTTGAGTATTCAAGTTTTTGATTCCCAAAATTACTAAGTTTTCACGCCTTAAATAAGCTTAAATAGGCTATTGAAATTACTAACTACCTTACTAATTAGCTCGAAATTAGACCAAAAATTAAAAATTTCCAACCGGTTTTTCTTGACACGGATGAAATTTTTTGAAGTTTTTTAATATCGTTCGAATCACGACTGAAAGGGCTTTTATATGAGATATCACTCTATGCTCTCCGATGATTAGTTGTAGCAGCTGATTTTGCGTGGAAAACAAAAAGAAACAAGACTGCTCGTATCAGGGCGAAGCACTGAGTGTTCCGACTGCCTTTTAAGGTTTAGGAAGCAGTAACAACATGAAAAAAATTAAATGTAAAAAAAATAAAATGAAAAACAGTTTGTAAAAAAATTTGAGATATTTTGTGAAAATTATCCCCCCACAAGCCATTTAAAGTACAAAGTGATAAATTTCGCTTCCAGTAACACATCAATTATGGTAAAGAAGCTTCCTTCAACCAATTTGGAACGATTTCTAGGACGGATTAAATCTCCGCTTACGCGTTAGCGCGAAATATATCGCGCGTTAATTGTCCCAAATTGGCCAAAATGCCAACCTTTAAACCCCCATAACTTTACGAAAAATGATCACAGGTGAAATATCTTTTCAATTTTAAGCTCAGGACAACAATACCTTTTGAATGGTATAAAAAATTCCGTCAAAAATGGCTAGTAAAAAAGTCGAAATTTGTCTGAAGAAAAAACCCACCCCGAGCACAAATATTCCGTTACTTTCGTATCAAAAGTCGGAACAAAAAACTAAACACACCCGAATACAAAGTTCCTGCCCATTTTCAATGATTGGAACAATAACCTGGGGCAGATCGATAATTTGCTATCAGTCGGCGTAAAGTTTCGTTAAAACTTGTCCAGAAAGGACCTTTTTAGTAAAAAGAATGTCCAAAAAGGACCTCTTAAAAATTGTCCAAAAGGACCTTAAAAATAAGCATTTTAGAGAGTAAAGCCATAGCTTGCGTTTGATTTTGTCCACTCAATTGGATATGATCAATAAATCTGCAGTTTTTTTAAATAATTGTCGTTTCAGATATTGAAGCTCTGGCTGCAAACCCCATTCAGAGAGACGTTACATCCTATTCACTAATATCTGTTGATTTTGGTTTTTGGTAAGTGCTTTTCTTACTGAAGTCAAATTTTGTTGTTTGAGCATTGAGAGTAGTAGAGCTTTTGTTTTGTTTTAGTATACTCACTATATGACAGTTGCTCTTTTCAACGTGCGTGCATTTATTACTCGTTAACCAATAAGCCTGCAGTTCTGTGTGTTTGGTTGGATTGGACCTGGAATGTCGAATAGGAAGAGAAAAAAAGGAGAGAAGAAATGAATCGAAATTTCAGATGCTTGCTTACCATTATACGTACAATGTAGTTTCTCAGAATGTCTATCACATCAGCCGACAAAACTTACAACTGATTAAAATGGTGTTAGATTTATGTCCTTACTATAGTTCTTTTTTGATTTTTTTTTGACAGACAACTTCAGGTCGTTCCCAGATTTATTGGGATATTATGCAGTAAAACTCTTTGATGCAGTTTGGTTTGTTTGTGTGGAATAATTCAAAATAACACGATATCATCATCTTATAGCAAGTTTAACAGGTCGCAATCAATTGGATTAAAAAGAATTTTCTCGTCTAAACAATTGGAAAATATCTTAATTTTAAGCGTTTTTCCATGTCTTTCTTCGGTGGTCAGATAACTATCAAAAAGATAGTTTATTTGTCACCACCAATGCTGTGAATTATTTTCCCTGTAAGGGATATCAGTTCAAGCTCAAAAGTTAATAAGCTCTTGTTTACCAAGTCTTTAACTGTTCCTCATTTTTTTTTTGTGTTAAAACAAAGTGCAAAAACCCATGAAGTGCAGTAACAATTGTTTTAGACTGGAATGAAGAAATAAAGCTGTATTAGCTGTGATACTATATGTAGTCTGAATCCCATAACCGAATCCACTGAATAGTAAACCAAAACAAAAGAGATTCATGGAGTCATTTGCGTTCTTATCCTCTGGCGATATGATTTGATATTTGATGAAATGGATATTCTTTTATTTTCCTACTCCTAATTATTACTTTCACACCTGAAACACAAAATTTTATGTCAACAGTTATTAAAATTCGCTTGTTTAAATTTGCTGAAATTTGAACCGTTGACTGAAATGTAGCTCTAATTATTGTGAACTGTTATCAGTTTTGTACTCATTATTTTAAAGTTAATTTTTGCGTCTCTGTTTTTTGTTTTTCTGTTCGCTAATTGAGCTGACAAAAATCGAAATAGGAAGAAAGGTAACCGAAAGTGCTTTTTGGAGATAAATGGTGAAAAAAACGTAGATAAACACAGCTAGATAAAAAAAGATATTATTAAATGTTTTTTTTTGGGCGGGGGGGGGGGGGGGGGGGGTGGTGGTTAATCAAAAAATTGTAGACCAATGATGAGAAAAAACTGCGGATTTAATACAATCTAGGCACAGATTTCATTTAAAAAAAGTCACGAAACGTCTTTTTTCCCACATTTTTTTTAAAATTGTTTGAAAGAGGAAAATCATGCAAACGGACTATGGGTTGATAGGCCCGATAGCCTTTGATAGATCCTCTGCAAATTGAGCTGAAAATGAAATTAAATTAGACCAAAAATGAAAATTTCAAACCGGTTTTTCTCGAAACTGTGTGAAAAATTTTTAAATGGTCGAATCACGATTGAAAGGGTTTCACAATGATATATCACTGAATTATTTGTGGTACCTGATGTTGCGTGGAAATCAACGCAGATATTCAGAAAGTGTTTTTTTTGGGTGAATGGTTAATCAAAAACTTTGTAGACCAACAAATAGATTAAAAACAAGGATATCTGATTGCTGTGCAAGTAGCACAGAATGTTCCGACCACAGTTTTAGAAAAATACAAAAACAATTTTTTTAATTAGTGTCATTTTTTCCGCATGGTGTGATAAAAAAAAGTCTGAACGAAAAAAAAAACTTGGGAATATTTGACAGTCATTTTAAAAAGGCCATTCGGAAAACATTTTTTAAAAAGAAAATTGACTAGGAAAACGAAAAAAAAATAACTAAAATTTTTTATCAGAAAATTTTGGAACTTTTAACCTTTGCTTACAAAATGATGCTGAAAAACTCCAAACTTTTATTTGAGTACAACTAAGTATGCACGGCATTAAGTGAGCTTGATCATGATCGTGTGATTATGTAGCTTGATCACAATGTTAGATCGAAATTAGACCAAAGATCAAATTTTCAAACCGGTTTTTCTCGACACTGAGAAAATTTTTTAAACTTTTTCAATGTCGTTCGAATCACGATTGAAAGGGCTTTAATATGATATATCACTCGACCCATTAAGGTAATTGTTTGTGGTACCTGATTTTGCGTGGAAAATAAAAAGGAAAAAAGCTGAAAAAAAAACACCCGAATACAAAGTTTGTCCCCATTTTTCAAATGCTCGGAACAAAAATCAAGAATAGCCGATTGTTGTGCAAATAGTTTCGACCAAAACATTAGGAAAGAAAGGAAAGGCATCGAAACGTATTATGCTTAGACAAGCCGGATCCTCTGAATCGCAGAAGCATCAACTATTATTCTTGTTAATTTAACCATCAATAAGCTACATTAACGAGGAGCGATAACTAGAAATGCATTCAAACTTTGACCGATCCTCTTTTATAGCAGTAAGTTAGTCCATAGCAAACGTTAAGTTTTTTCGAATGCTGAGAAAGCGTTTGGGGCTCAAAATTAAATTTAAAGGGCATATTTTTCACGTAACTGGGAAAGTTATTTCATCACTTAACTTGCGAATTTTCCCTGAGATTTCATCGAAAAACTATCCTAGACAATAGCTTTTCACCCACGTTTGGGATGTAATTGGAAGACCGCGAGTGCGCTAAACAAAATTTTTCAAACAATGTTGTTATCACACATTGACTTATTGAAGTGAACTGCAAAAACAGCTGTTTTTTAAAGTTAGGTATCAACGTGTATCATATTGGCCACGGCCTAATTAGCTGATAATGACAGATTATTTAAGATGACCCTGTCAAAGGCTGGAAACAAGTTAACAGTCTCTTTTACAAAGTGTAAACTCAAACTAGGTGGAATCTGTTTTATCTCAAGTTTTTCTATTTAATTAGTTTCCTTGTTTTATTTCAAGAGCTAATAACAATTGTCAAGACTAATATTTCCAAGTTTTCGTGTTCGTGAGCTTAAGTCACTTCTGTCTTTCTTGCCGTTTTTCGTCGTGGCATATTATTTGCGTGCAACATTTATGCCTTGATGTTGTTGAAACTGTGCATCAAACAGTGCGCTGTACAGTCGGCCCTTTTTGCAATCGCAAAATAAAAATGAAGAATCGGGAGGAGTTGGGGTGGGGTGTCTCTTAGCTTAGTCCTAAGCTATGTCAAGGTGAGTGTGCTAGCTTGTCGGGTTGGCTGTCTAAGTTGAAGTCGTCGGCTGTCGAGATGAGGTTCGTAGGATATCAAGTTGAGGTTTCTCTGTTGTCCTGAGGACACTGTTTAAAAGTTCGGCTACCGAAAAGCAAATTGAAGTCTGCTGATTGAAAGAGCTGGTCGATTGTTGCAGTTAATAATGTTCCGGAGTGAAAGTCAGATCTGATGATGAATCAAGGAGATCGGCTGGTCGTTGTTTTTTTGCTGTTACTTGTCGAAGAAGATCGACTAGTCGTTGTCGTTATCCAAATAATTACAGGTTGAAGAAATCTGGTTGCGTTCACATTTCTGTGTAGAGAAGCTGAGAGCATACTCGAAAGTTGTAGTAAAGATAATGGGAGTATGCTCCCGGCAAAAAAAGCTGTTGTTGCGTATCAGGTGTCGTTGTCATACAAAACGTATTTCTAGCATCGGGGTATCGTCGTTGCTGTATGTAGAAATTCGATTAGGAAGGCAAAGCTGGCAGGCTCTTTCGTTTTTACTTTTCAAGATGTTGGCGCTGGAGAGGATGCTTCAGTTTGATCGCTGTTCTTTGGCGCGGATTATTGAGTGTAGAAGTCTGGACAAATAGAGGAGAGTTGTATTGCTGGGATTTTAACTCTTTCACGGCGGGTTCTAACGTTGTGTTGTCGTTTTACATGATGGGCTTGAGGTATCTATGCCACATAGGAGCCATAGTCCACCAGGAGTTACATTTTGTAAATTCAAGACGGGTTGGTATTGAAGTTGGTATTCACAACATTGGAGTTTTCGAGGTCGGGGAAGCAAACATGCTGTAGTAGGCGGTTCCAAACTTTCAGTAGGCGGTTCCAAACATGCTTTACAAATTTCCGTTTCTTCATCATTGTTGGCATCTCTTTCAGTAGGCGGTTCCAAAGATGCTGTACAAATTTCCCTTTCTTCGTCAATGTTGATGGCTTACAGTTTCCTGGAGGCATGATGGCAAACATTCCTCCTAGAAGGAAATAGTTAGGGGTATGGGCTTCGATGTCGCAGGGAGAAGACAATACAGTCGTGATGGGTCGTGCATTCAAAAACTGTTCAATCTCGCACAACAAGGTGTTGAAAGTATCATCTGTGAGGGCTTTAGATCCAATGATGGCGTATAGAGGGTTTTTGACGCTACGAATGAGACGCTTATAGACGCCACTAAAATGTGGTTCATAGGCGGGGTGGAAGTTTCAAGATATCTGGTGTTATCCAAAAAATTGGTTTTATCGAGGAGCTGTCGAAGGTGGTCATCAGTTCTTTTTCTGCTGCTGTAAAGTGCATTGCGTTGTCAGAACGAATTTCTGAAGGGTTGCCTTTCCTTGCAAAGAAACAGTGGAGGGCTGTTAGAGTTGCGTCGGACGATAGGTCATGGCACATTTCCAGATGAACTGCGCGAGTCGTCATGCAGGTTAGAATCAATCCGTACCGTTTGTTACAGGTGGTCAAATTGATTGACCCGAAGGGTCGAAAATGTCGAGACCAGTTTGCTGAAAGGGAATAACTTATCTGATGGAAATCGACATGGTGGCAGAGGAGACATTTTTCAGGTTGGAGTCCATAGGCGAGCTGGAGTTGGCAGTCTTAACAAATGTTGTACATTTATGTATTTGAGATCTGTTTGAGAGAATCCAATAGTCAGCTTGGAGTTGGTTGCGTGTGTGCTCGGGTGGGGACTGCTCATTGGAAATGCGAACCTGTTGTATGAGGAGGTAAATTGCTGGGTGTTTTCTATCTAAAATAAAGGGATGCTTTGAACAATAGTGAAGTTTTGATTTTTGTAGTCTTCCTTTGGCTCGCATGATGTTCGATTCGTCGAGAAAGGGCAAGAGGGATAAGATTCTGCTAGAGGTAGCAACGATATTTTTTTTCTGAAGAATTTTCAACTCGTTCGGAAAAGAGTCCTATCGGTGTCGTTTGCAATCAGGGTGATATTTTGAGGTTGATTTTCTTCAGTTGTCGAAGCCGACGAGATTGCAGAGGGTGGAAACTGAAACAGAGTGTTGACGATGTTACTGATGAGGGATTTGAGATACTGATTGATCAATTGAAGATTCGCAGGTTGAAATTCTAAACAGAGTGGCTGCCATAGGAACAAAAGCTGTTAAGCGGAGAAGGCGGTTCTCCTTCGAAAAGCGTTTGTAATTGATGCAGGAGCTGCTTGCTAGTCATGGGATCTTGGAAATCTGTCACATAGCACAAATGTTGCTAATAAGTCAAAAAATTATCGGTATCATTGAAAACGCAATCATGTTGTCTGTCGCTTTCCAATGTCTAAAGGGGCGGCTAATTCAAAGGGCGATTTGGGCCAAGCATCTTCTGATTAAAGAATGAAATCTGGTCCATTGTACCAACGGCTGTTAATGTTGAACTCTGAAAGGGGATTCTAAGAGTTCCATCATCAGCGGGGTTGATGTAATCTGGGCAGTGTTTCCACTGAGTAGATTGGGTGACCTCCAGCAAGAGCTGCGTATGAGGCATCTTAAAAGATGTGCAAGGTTATTTCTGAGATCGGCTCCGCGAAATAATGGCGAGGCACGTAGAAAGGTTGATTGTTGTCGGCTTCTTGGAGAACATCAAAGAGCTCGGTGAGGTCCTATTTGATAATTTGATCGTCCCATTTTAGTCCTTTTTTCCATATATGTTGCTGTGGATTTCGGAGGCGAATTGTAATAGGGGCGGCGAAGCCAATAGGGTTCAATATGGAGGATGAAGTACGCATAAGGTTGCGCTGGGTTGGCTCTTGCTTTTCAGATCCTGAAGTTTCTTCGGCTGAAAAACCAGCGAATC